GAGAGGAATCAATGGAAAGGATGGGACGGCCGTTTTTCTTAAAGACAGTGTTGTCTGGACCAGCCATTCTCAACCTTATTTTGATCATGGCTATAAAGATAACATGAAAGAAATATAGGCCGAATCAGGAGTTGTATAATTTGCGTAATGAGCCTTATAAGGTGGTGTGCGTGAAGAATTGTTTCCAGTCTGTGGCCCCCCTTCAAATGGGCCAAAGGCCCACAGGGGTTCATAGGGTCCATGTTGAGAACGGCTGGACTAGACCTCCTAAAGATGTCTTGGAATGGACATTGCAATTGGATAGTATAATCTTGGTCTTGAAGCTTCCTGCAAATGAATGATCATCTGAAAAAGCAGACCCTTCCACACTTTTTTTTTAAAAAAAGAATTGTATAATTTGCGTAATGAGCCTTATAAGGTGGTGTGCGTGAAGAATTGTTTCCAGTCTGTGGCCCCCCCCCTTCAAATGGGCCAGAGGCCCACAGGGGGTCATTGAGTCCATGTTGAGAATGGCTGGACTAGACCTCCTAAAGACTTCTTGGAATGGACATTGCAATTGGACAGTATAATCTTGGTCTTGAAGCTTCCAGCAAATGAATGATCATCTGAAAAAGCAGACCCTTCCACACTTTTTTTTTTAAAAAAGAGAAACACTCAAAAACATCCTTAACAGGTTGCTTGGTATTTTAGAACCCAAATAGAATCTCAATGTGATGCAGACTCAGTAACTGCTTTGATTTGATTTTAACACAATGCAAACAAATGAGCATAACATGAGCGCCTGAATCTCTGCATCACAAGTATATCATTCCACTCCCTTCACTGTGTAGTCCTTTCCCCCCCTCTCAGATGGTATAAAACACTATTGAGGGAAACACTGAAAGGAATTCTCTTCGAAGTTCATCAGAAATGCTCTTTCTTCTGTTTGCCTTTTTCTGTTGCTCAGACATCAAGTTGCAATGGTGGGAAAACATGTTCATGTATTTCCAGAGCTTAGAAAAGTTGCTCTTCTTTACTCTTTGCTCCTTTCTGTACGGGCATCCATCCCTTATATTTTGTGTGTTTGTGACTTCTCTACTCTTTGCTCCTTTCTGTAGGGGCATCCATCCCTTATATTTTGTGTGTTTCCATTTAAAAGAAGCTCAACAAGTCAACACACCACTTCTCTGGTGGCTTTCCAGTTTTACGAAAGAGTGCTTCTCTCTGCCCGGCTTATTCGTATTTCGACTCCAGGCTTAAAAGAGTGCAGCGTGTCTGTTGAAGACTTGTCTGGAGGTTGGAAATGTGTTCAAACTTCCCTAGTGAGGAAACGTAGAGTTTTCTTAACAAGGAAACCCATAGTACAGGGATAACACTTGTGCAGGGAAGTCTCTTCAGCTGGCTTCTAACGTGGATGGTCTCTGAGCAAATGTACCAATATGAGCTGAATTAGGAGTATTTGTGATTTCTTGGGGTGACCTCAGGGTGGAACAAAGGGTCCAGACAGATTCCCCTTGTGGAGTGGCACCCCCATGGGTTCCTGGCATTAAATCTAGCATCTGGCATCATGATTAGCAGTGTAGAATGAGGGAGGGAAGCCAAAGAAGATGCTTGATTTTTTTAAAAAAAGAAAATGTTACTGCTTTAATATATTCCAACAGATTCGCTCTGCATTTAGGGTCAACACCACCATCAGAGGCTTTGTGGCTGAGAGGCAATCAATAAACAACAACAAATAGATATATTTTAGAGACCTATGCTGTTATTTCTAGTATTTGCATACTGGTCTTAACTAACCATAATGTGAGGAATAATGTGGGTGTTTTCTAAGCTACAGTCAGACTGCTCTTTAGGGTCAGCACCACCATCAGAGGCTTTGTGGCTGAGAGGCAATCAATAAACAACAACAAATAGATATATTTTAGAGACCTATGCTGTTATTTCTAGTATTTGCATACTGGTCTTAACTAACCATAATGTGAGGAATAATGTGGGTGTTTTCTAAGCTACAGTCAGACTGCTCTTTCTTTTATCATAAGAAACAACCTGTCACCAGGTTGGATCACGCACCCACCTACCTCAACGGCATGTGCTCTCATTGGCAGCAATCCTCCAGGTTTTCATGCATGCACATCCCCTCATTCTGTTCCAGAAGGCTTTTAGTTGAAATAATATAAACTGCGGGTCCTGATGGCAATTTTTAGAGTATATATTTTAATTGTATTTTAATTGTTTTATCTTTTTTATTGAATTTTAATTGTTGTAAGCCACCCAGAGACCTTTGGGTAGTGTGGGCAGCATGTAAGTAAGTAAGTAAGTAAGTCAGTCAGTCAGTCAGTCAGTCAATCAATCAATCAATCAATCAATCAATCAATAAAGGTACTTTGGACTAAAGCTGAGTCCTCCGCATCAAAAGTGTATGCTCTTCCGGGTTTTACTTAGGACTTTAAAGGAGCTTGCCAAGGTGCTGTTTGGACTAAAGCAGAGTCCTCCGCGTCAAAAGTGTATGCTCTTCCATCAAGTGGAGACAGTTTTAGTCTGGGTTTTACTCAGGACTTTAAAGGAGCTTGCCAAGGTGCTGAAACTCTTTTGGAGAGAGCATGCAGAGCCTTGGATGGCTTCTGTAAAGTTCGGACTAAAGCCTGAGGAGATTTACAGCTCTGCTGACATCACAGTCTTTGCCTAAGTAACAGCCTTTCTACTTGTCCAATTTTAAAAAGTTCTTTTCATTACTATGAGTAGAGATGGACACAAACCACCAACTGAGTGGTTCATTCCAGTTTATTTATGGGTTGGACAGGTGTTCTGTGCTCCCCAGCACTGCCTCCTCAGGCAGGTGCCCTCAGAGGCAGCGCCCAGAGGAGGCAGGGTAGAGAAGCTGGGGTGCTGCCTCTGAGTGGGTGCCCACTGGAGGAGGCAGGGCTGGGAAGTGTCAAATATCTGTTTAGCTGATTAACAAACCAGCACAAGCCACTGACCCAGCAGTTCATGCCCATCTCTAACTATGAGTATTAGTATTATTCATAGTACTGTACATTCTTTGAAGTGGCTGTGGAAGTTGCTAAGATGGTTTGTGCTGTGGAAATTCCGGGTTGATGGGCTGGGTTTTGATCAGTCAGTTATACCCAAGTGTTTTCTCTCCCTTATGTAGACCTCTGGAAACCAGTATTTGTAAAGATGAAATATCTCTGCTAGTTGAGCAAGAATATTTGAGCCTCGCCCAGGAGAATGCAATGGAACTAGAGACACAGACATCTGAGGCTGACAAGATACCCTCAGGTGGTCCATGTAAGCACCCCATAAACAACAATACTGTCACCGTACCTTCTGATGGAGATCAGACATCGGAAGAGAAAGACACAATGGAAAAGGGCTACCAAGCACTCACTGGAAACAGGAAGGAAGTGAAGCCGAGACCTGCCTGTGATGTCCACTCGTCTACCAAGTCCACCGTCACAGGTATCTTGCTCCCTGCAAAACTTATCTACCAGAATGCCAAAAGTACCGAAGGTGGAAATGGCGCCCCAATGGGCTCAAATACTCAGATCGCTAAACTCTTGGCGCAGCTCCCGCTCAAACGGGTTGAGGCTGTGAAAATGCTGGACAGCAAGATGGTTATGGAAGAAACCAAGCTGATCAAAGACCTGCTGCAGAACAATGTGTTTGGACCTGCCCCTCACAAAGAGAGCATCACGCGGGCGCCCATAAGCATGACAGAAAGCCAAGGATTGAGCAACAAAAAGCAGCTGCCGGTGTTTGCCAAGATCTGCTCGAAAAGCGAACCTGAGTTGGTTGCTGATGGGTTCTGTCAGAATCATGGTAAGGTTTGTGGTGAAACCAGGGACACGTCTGTGGCTCTTTGACTGTGGTCTTTCGGAGACCCAAGAACGCTTTGTATTTGGGTGCAGGACCGTGGGATGATGTTGTCGGAGGGCTGAGACCAGGATGCCCTGGGTTCTACGTTTTGTTCACTACTAAATCTGACTGGCTGATTTAGGGCCATTCGTGGACTTCCCGGCCAACCTATCTTGCGTGGCCATTGTGCAACCCAACGTGTACATGTGGAAGCCATCCCGTGGTCGTTAGCAAAACAGCAGAAATGCAAAAAATCAAAAAGAACAGTAATCAGCAATCCTACTTAAACTCTGCTGATTTTGTGTGCCTTCTGTTTTTTCACAGAAGCCATCCCGTGGTCATTAGCAAAACAGCTGATTTTGTGTGCCTTCTGTTTTTTCACAGCATCCTCAGCAGCCATTGATAAGAACAACCTTAAATACAGTGGAAATGTGTTCACGCCACGTTTCCCCACAGCATCAACCGGCACATCATTAAAGCAGCCACTGTGGCTTAGCCTAAACTATCCTCCACCTCCTGTTTTTCCAAATCATTCAAACTTTCCTCAGTACCAGGTAATGGTGGCTTAAGCCTTGTCAGTGAGATGTGGAAGATCTTGCCATATGAGTTTGGGAGCAGGTGTGAGGTGGGATTGCTTTCATCTCAAATACTGCCTTATACCCTCCTCCACCTGCTCCCTTTCTCTTCTTTCTCTCCCTTCATCCTCCTCCTCCTCCTCCTCAGGATCATCTACCCTTGCGGTGTTCCATATTCTCCTGGATTGTATTGTGGAGAGCCTAGCTGAAAAATTACACTAGTGTAACTCCACAGGCATAAATCTTCAGCTGGGAATTGATATGAATCAAGAACTCAGCCTAGGCATTTGCTGTCATGTGCCAAATCAGGAGGAACAGCAGCCATTGCTTCATTTGCTGGGAGCATTTTTTATTGACAAAGTGTGGAAACTGCTGGCTTAAAACCTCCAGCGAGATAGCAGAGAAAAAAAAATCTCAACAGAGACAGACAGAGCAGATTATTATATAGTTATAGGTCTTGCTCAAATGTTCCACCCCTTATTGTTGTTAGTTTTATCTCAACTGGCAATATAGTCTCAGAAGATTCACTCAGAGACTCCAGTGTTGAGAAAGAACAAAAAATGTTTTTCTTTTACTCACAAATCTTCATATATGTCAGAAGAACCAACAAACATATTTAGTAGTTACATAGTTCAAAATCTTAACTGGTTAACTCCATAATTAATTTACCCCAGATGGCACCGACTAATTGCATTAACCCAGTTAATTTGGAATGAGGAGTCTTCAAACTGTTAGTTGTAACTAATTCTTTTGAAAAAAAAATTACTGCCTTTGTTCTGTTAGAGGCCACTATCAAGGCAGGGGATCAACTAAATAATAGTAGCATTCTTGTTATTATTGTTGTTAACACAAGACACATGCCTGCAATGATCGATTTCTGCCTAACGTATTTCTTGACAGAGTTTGTATCAGCAAAGGACACGGATACCCTTCCAGCAGGCTTTACATCCTCAGCTAGGATGCTATTCCAGACAGGTAAGGACCGGAGTTACATCCCTCTCCAGCATATCACCTGGTGTTGGAAATCTTGGTTTCATTGGGAAAATCTCCGTTCAGTTCTCAGTGGCTTTAAGGAAGTCCTATCCTCTCAGCCTTGGTTCCTCATCCATCAATCAGAAATTGCAGGTTTAAACAACTTGAGAGAGCACTGTTCGCAAAAAAAAAAAGGCCCCAGAAGAGCACCAGGCAGCGAGAAATATGAATGGCAACTGTGATATTAAGAGCAACAGCATCTGTGATTGCCACCTGCCAGCTCATCAGATGTTTTTCACAAGTCTGAAGGAAACAAATGGGACCCGCAGCAAAATTCTGCAGTACATCCTTATCTCCTCATTTGTTCCACCGAGGGACGGAAAGAATGTTTGGTAACCTCCTTATTCTGGTTGATTTAGGCTGCCTCGATGATAAGACACCTTGACAAGGAATTTTCAAGCTTACACGATGCTTGCCTTCCAGCCTACAATGTGGAAAAAGGAGCTCCCTCCCAGCCCTTGTAATCAGCACAAAACATCTCTCCGTTCCTTTCCTTTTGAGAAGCAAACTGCGGCTGCACGCAGAAAGGACCAAAGAACCGGCTGATGGTTAACAAAGATGGCAGCAACCCATTAAAGTCCTTCAGATTCCTAAACACAGCAGTAGACATCCTAGATTTGTAGAAAACCATGCAATTCATACAGCTGTCTTTATGACCCTTGGAAGCGGCTCATTTTCCAGTGTCCCATCTCATGCTGTTGGCCTCCCTTGGTGGTGGAAGCTTCTTGTGTCAAAACCACTCCTCCTTCGCAATGGATGAGGTCTTGAATTGTGGGATATCTTTGTCAAGTTGGACTCAACTTGCACCGGTGACGACTCAACTCAATTTTTTTAATGACCTGGACTCAACCCTAACTTGGAATCTACCCACCCCTCTGTTTTTTTCTTGGGGTGGGGGAGAAGCTTGCTTTTAATAGGGACTTGGACTTTGGACTTGAGACTTTTTACCAAAGACTCAAACTTGGGACTTGGACCTTCAACTCATTTTTTTAAATGACCTGGACTCAACCCTAACTTGGAAACTACCCAACCCTCTGTTTTTTTCCTTGGAGTGGGGGGAAGCATGTTTTTAACAAGGACTTGGACTTTGGACTTGAGACTTTTTACCAAAGACTTGGACCCAAAGACAACAACTCTACCCCTTCACACCCAGAGAGTAACAGCTAATGATGATGATCAATGGCTTGCAGTGCTTCTCGTGGCTGGAAGAAATGCACCTCACCTCACAAACTTGCAGATTTTCTAGCCTTTCATGGCATTTTGGAGAAATAAGTCAATGTGCACCTATAACCTTTCCAATGGATAGATTGTGCTCAATAGAAAAAACAAAGCACAAACATATTAGTCAGCACACAGGTAAAATATAGATAATATAATGGGGGGATATGTAAACTATGAACTAGGTGTAAAAATATAAGCATATTAGGTTAAAATATTTGAATAACTGTGTCCAGATTTTTATGGAGAAGAAGAATCAGATCTCAAAACCCAGCGAAAATCAAAGACAGGGGAAAATTGCAGGAAGAGATCCTGAGAAATGCGAGTGACGTTGTAGCCTTTTCTCAAGCTCTGTAATTTGCAACAGCAGGTGTGTGTGTGTCTGTCTTATGTGCACACATTGTGGTTTTCTTCTGGTGTTGTCTGGTGTGCCCTCCTGGAGAGACCCAGGTGTCACCTACCCATGACGTTTTGAAACAGAAATTGCATTGTCTCCATCAAGGAACCGGTTTTAAGCCTTGACAAGAGGGATGGGGGAATATGGTGGATGGACCACAAGAAGATGAACAATGACAGCGAATGATGTAGTGCAGGAATCAGAGCTGAGGTTTGCTAATCCCTGGAAAGCTACTCTGTGGCCTTCATCTCCCGTTCCGTCAGTGCTGGAGATTAGAATGGCCCAAATGAAAACTCAGGAATGGAAGCTTCTAAAATATTAGGAGTACGGGAGGAAATAAAACATATTAAAGGTGTCAGGAAATAAAGCACGGTCAGCCTGGGATTATTCATACACGCCTTTCTTTTCTTGCTGGCAAGAAACAAAATAAGTTGTACGTGATGTTGAGAATATGATGCCATAGCAGAGCAAAGGAGCACAGCCGACCATGTTTCACAAAATATCACATCAAAGCAAGTCGAAAACGCCCGGTTCTGCCAGGATAGCCCAACTTTGCAGTCAGTCTTTCAAAACTGGTGCCATTCTGGTTTTTACTGTTGTTCCAAATTACCTTGGGGGGGGGGAACCTTGGAAATAATGATGTTAGAAATCTCTCTCTCTCTCTTTCTCTCTCTCTTTCCCTCCATCTCTCTGGTAGGACTCCGATATCTATGGGGTGTTGGTTCCAAGCCCCCCTTCCAATGCTGAATTATAGTGAGCACTCTTTTAATAGCCCATGCTACATATAACATGGTTTCTGTCTCCCTTTATTGGCTAGTTCTTGTAATTCTATCTTTAGAAATATACCTTTCTATGATTTTTCTTTTAATATTTTTAATATTTTCAGACCATCAATAAGTGAATCAGTTGTTACTGGTCCTGTGGATGAACAGGTCATACTGCATCTAAAGTTTCTGCATTTTGTATGGGTCTCAGATTTTGACTAGAAAGCCACGTTGTGACTTTTGCATTGAACAGGAAGAATGTGTCTGCTCTGATCATAAGAAAATTAAGACATTTTAAAACCCAACACTAAACTGTTCATTTTATTTATTTATTTATTTATTTATTCGATTTTTACCCCACCCCTCTAGACAATGTCTACTCAAATATTACTTTTAAAATGCTGTTCTTTGGATGCATGAGTTGGTTTGTCCATCTGTTCAATGCAATGGCCAAGGACCAATTGGATAACTGTGCCTGCATAACTTGAACTATGCAACATGCCACAAAATCTGCACCAAGGTGGAAGTTGTATCCAGGATGCACTTCTATGGACACAGTGACTAACCACTTGTGCAACTATGCACATAATCAGGTACCCTATCAGCTGTGTAAGTAGCTGTGCAATCACTTGCTCAACTGGTTGCACCATCGGACACCTGAACATAGCCACCGTGAACTTCTGCAGACGTAACTTTATGCTATGCCAAGTGCAATAGGATTTCAGTCAACAATTTTAATGCATCTCTTTTCCTGTTAACACATTAAATCAATGTTTTATTTACAAGCTCCGGAGAAAAGGAAGGATGGCCTTGGGGTGAACTTTTCAAATGATGTTTCTTCACAAAATCCTTGCTCTAGTGCCAGAACCAATCAAGATACAGTGTTCATCCTGTAGACTTCAATGGGCAGCTGATTTTGTAGAGGGCAGGGTGTGAGATGGGGCCCTCCATGAGGTTGGTTTCTGTGATTGTACTGCCAGTCAAAACAGATGTAAGGATTGAGGAATTCATGGCGATCACGTGACCCCTGTAGGCTTACCTCCAGTATGAGAGGCAGTATGTCCCTTTTTACCAGTTGCTTCCCAGTATGGAGGAGGTGCTGTTGCTCTCTAGGCTTCTGAATGAACTCCCTGGAGGCATCTGCTTTGCCTCTATGATATGAGGGTGAGCTAGATTTATCTTTGCTTTTGGGCCAGCATGGATCTTGCTGTCTTAAGAAGCAAGCCGTTGCAAACTTCTCCAAAACACAGTGCTCCACAGAAGACCTTGATCAGATTTCGTTTCTCATTTGTTCCCTGCTCCATAGGTGGCTCCTTACAATCCACAGCAAATCTTCCGCTCCTCCTATACTCCTGTGCTCAGCTACATCCCACTGGTTCAACCTGGTTACTCGTATCAGCAAAGGAACCCAACCAAACCATCCAACAGCGTACGGGATCCTCCGGCAATGGCAGGCGATGGGCCCCAGTACCCATTTTCCCCTTCCTATGGGTAAGTGTGCTTTGCAAGGTACTCACACAAGAGAAATCATGGGAAATTAGTCAGCTGCTCCGTAGGGGTGGTTTCTTTTCCCACAAATTTGAGAGGCACATGATTTTTCTGATGGCACTTTAGGTGATCCCTGTTGGACCCCCACACCCATCAGTCCCGGCCAGCATGGCCTTTGGTCATCTATGTAAGGAACTGTTGTCTCCTGGAATACGTACACCAACTGTACACCAACTGGTCAACATGACATGTCTTCATACCCCTGCTTGTTGAAGAAACATGTCCTTAAGTTTAAAGTCTCCACAGACTTCCCCACAAACTGATTCTTCCTATACCCCAAAATGTTCACCTGTCCCAGACATTTGATACTTATGTTCTCCTCTCCTATGTCATGTAAGGGTTCCTGATTCTGGTCATTCTTATTGACCAGTAGGCCAAGGACACCCTCTCTAAGCCTGAACATTAGTCTCAATGGTGGGTGATGAGCTGGTCTGTGCTGTTCTTCAGTGGTAGACCCAGTAATGTATAAATCAAGGTTCTGCATACAACCTAACTCCATCATAATTATTTTGGTTCTTTATTGTTTCTTCCTCTTCCTCGTCTTCCTCTTCCTCCAGAGAACACATAGCATTGCACAATGCATACTCTCAAATCACTGTTAAGTTATGCATTACATCCTTCATCTTCAAGAAACTATTCAGAGCCACCTCTGTTCTGACTTTTGTTGACCACGTGTTCCCACTATTCACCCAGCCATTTCTTCAGTTCTTTTCTATCCAATTCATTTTCAGCTTTACGTCTACTACAGCAGGACCAGTCAGGACCAATCCATATTTCTCTTCCAATGGAGGTGGCAACGGTTTTTAAGATCCGCTGGGAGTCTCTCTTTTTTTTTCCTTACGTCTTTGGCGATTTGAACATTTCGGGAAGGGTTAAAAACTTTGCTGAATGTTTTGCCCTGATTCGAGGAATCCAAAAGAGCAGAATTTTGTTTAGAAGGAATGGAGGGAACATTTGAGGACTTTAAAAACGGTGTACTTTTTTTTTATGAGACAGAGAGAAAGATAATAAAAAAGAGGTTTATTTATGATGAATACCTGTGCTGCTTAAAATTGAATTTTACTGTAATAAAAAATGGCTGATAGAAAAGTATCCCTGTTGGAATATTTTGTCTGTTTGGTTTTAAGCAATAATTCACCCGGTATTTGAAAACGGGTTGACCTCAAACGCTGGTAGCTAGAGATTGGGAAGACCCACAAAAAGTGTGGTTCGTGGATTGTCATGAACTGTGTACCACGACACAAACCATCCAATTTTATTTTTTAAAAAATGAAACATGGATTGACTTGTTTTTCCCCCCAAAGAAGGTGTGTACCCTTCTAAAAAGAAAAGTAACCCCACGCCATTCCTCCTGCCTCCATTGCCTTGCTACCTGGTCCTTTTGTCTCTTCCTCTGCCACTGCCCCCACCATCTCGAGAAACAGCAGCCTGGATTCGCTTTCAGAGGAGGAAGAGGAGGAGGGGATGGCGGGACCAGGTAGGGAGACAATGGGGTCAGTGACCCGTGATGCAGCTGGCACGTGACCAGGAATGAGAGCAGGAACTCTTTAATTAGTAGCCCTTGACCAGCACAGTTTAAGCAATTGCACTTACTGCAGTGCATCTCCCTAATAAGATTCTGGCTGGTATAATTCCTCCATATTTCCCTGCACTGACCAAGAAAACTCATGCACATGAGTAAACCAGAGCACATCAACAGATAATCCCTGATGTGCATATGAGTTTACAGGTCTGAACAACTGGGCCTTTGGATGTTGGTGGCTGTAATGAGGCTGATGAGCAGAATGACAAATCTCCGGGTAAACAGAACTCCAGAAACTTTCATTTATGTGTGTATGGTGGTTTTAAAGCTTTGAAAGAGTGTTTGTTCTTTCTCTGCTCCTAGAGGCTTCTAAGAAGCTCCAGGGGTTCCTTGGAAAAATCTGATTTCTACAGCCTGAAGTCAAGAGGTTGTGACTTTTCTGAGGTCTGCAGTATTGCGATGGTTGTGAGGAGAAGGAATCATTGGCTTACAAATCCAGAGGCAATTCTGCTAACCACGTTTCTCCAGGATTCATAACACAATTAAAATAACAAGATAAAGCAATCATCAAGTCAAATTACATTTTTCCCTCTCCCTCCTTTCTTCGGCAAAAAGCTGATGACAAACTAGCAACCCAATTGGTGATTGAATTAGTTTTACCACAACGGAGTTCATTACGTTAGAGTAGCCAATAATAAAAAAAAACCCTATCATCTGTCAACCTGCAGGACAGACGAAAACCATTTAACAGGGAAGCATTGCTCATTTCCACCTCTCTGTCAGCTATCACACAATTTGCCCGTCCACCGTCCTGAAGTGAAGGGGTGTGGGATGCAAGAAACGTCCTTACATCAATTCCTCTCTGAAGTTTTGTTCACTCAGGATCCTCTACGCCAGTGGTTCTTAACCTTTGTTACTCGGATGTTTTTGAACTGCAACTCCCAGAAACCCCAGCCAGCACAGTTGGTGGTGAAGGCTTCTGGGAGTTGCAGTCCAAAACTCCTGAGTAACCCAAGGTTAAGAACCAGTGCTCTATGCCATTGATTCTCAACCATGGGCAACCCAGGTGTTCTTGGACTGCAGCTCCCAGAAGCCTTCACTACCAGCTGTGCTGGCTTGGGTTTCTGGGAGTTGCAGTCTGAGAACACTTGGGTTACCCAAGGGTGGGAAACACTGCTCTACACTGACATAAGGGTGGATACACTAAATTTTCCAAGCCCATATCTGGAATCCTGTTGCGCAGTTCTGCACCTGCCAAAGTTATGCAAATGGTAGAGAAAATTGGGCTGAGATAGAAGAGCCATTTTCTAAGAATTTCTGCAGTTGTGCTGCACCATAGGCTGATGGTGTGCACATGATGCATTGTGCGATCAACATGCATGGTGCAGACTATCTGGACATAACACCCTGCACAGTTCAACAGTATTTCAGCCTGTGTCACCCTGGAATTCATTTTACACCTGCTTCCATTCCATTGTTCTGGTTAATCTTTTTGAAATACATATTTAAGTGTATCATGATATTGGAGAGAAAATTTGGAGTATAAGACACACTTCATGGATGTCACGTTGGTAGCTTAGCGGGAGCCAGGAGAACAGAAAGAATGTACTGATAGGTCTGTTCTTCTAAGAGCAGCTTGTCTTCTTGAGATAATAATATGTTGATCTGGCCAGGAATGATGTATCCCATTCAGCATGTAAGAGTTTCCATCCTTTGGAAGGTGAGGGGTGCCTATAGTCTTCCATTCCTTCCTCTTAGGTTCAATCTAAGGGGCCTTTAGATTCTCCAGGTCAGCGTAGCCCCTCTGTTGCAGGAGGGAGGGCTGGTATCCATGACATAACATGTCTCAATAAGGACTATGCCAGGCATAGAATCCAGGAGTGCTCCCCAAGGTGTGACAATGTGTTGTCTCCTTTTCCTATACTGTATCAAATTGCATACTACCCCAGCTAAGGGCCCAGGACCTAATGAATATAAGGGGGTGCCAGATCACTGGAGATTTTCTAGAAAAGAAGATAACCATCTGTCTGGGATGATATGAGGTCTCCTGCCTTGGGCATGGGGTTGCACTAGAAGACCTCCAAGGTCCCTTCCAACCCTATGACAATTCTATGATAGATCAGGCTGGCCTCAAAATGCCAATAAGCGTAACAACTCTTTGTCAAGCACAATATGTAGCAAAGTCTTTCAAATATGTATTTAAATCTATGGACAGGATCCTGTTATGTAGCTCCAGGAAAGCAGGAATTATTTCATTAGTAACAGTTTCCCACTGTCAGTGACATCACTCTCACTGTGCTGGCAGAAGTATGGATGAGGATACTGGAGAGTGGGAATGGGATTTTTGGATTTCATGGACTCCGAATCCCATCATTACTCATTCTGTGAGTTCTACCTGATGTACACATATCATACGGACACCTAAAGGTGGTTTGCCTAGGAGAAAATGTGTGAACTGGTAGGCTTTGCAAGGCCTAACTTCTTGTTCCTGCCCCAGTGCTAGATGGGAGTTTATTTCTGAAGAGGAAGCTAGGCCTAGCTAAGCCTCAAAGCCTTCAATTTAAGACCTTTTCTCCCAGGTGTGATTTTTCCCTCAGGATTCTGCCCATTTTGAAAACCCATAATGCCAACTATTTGTACTATTAAAACATTTTGCTAATGCTGCTGATAATAGAAAAGGAACAGATTTTTTCCTTGCTGTCATGCAGGTGATTGACAATTTTGGATTGGGCATCTTAAAGTGTCAGGACACAGCTTTTCTTAAAGGGTGAGAGCATTCTGAAGTGTCCATTACATCCTTAAGCGATGCAGACTACTCTTCCAATTCTCCAGATCCATGAACAAATCAGGCACTATCCTAGTTTCTGGTGAATTTGTACATTTCATACAATTCGCATGATTTGCAGTTGTGCGAACTGCCCATTTTCTGCAAAAACCAAACCAAACCTGTCAGTTTGTGAAAAATTGGGCCATTTTTTTTCAAAAATTATTCTTGATAGTGCAGGAATGCTGTTGTGTGCGAGAGGACATTAATCACTATGTTTTTGGCTTTATGGAAATAATGTTGCTTTGCTTATCCTCGCTTGTGAGGACTCTTTATTCTGAACTACTATTAAGCCCAAGCAGTTACTTCTGTTTTTTACTGATATCTCAAAGGTTAAATTAGCTGTGAGACACAACACCTTAGAAAACTAATTCATTTCTATTTGTTGACGTAGTTCTTATGTGCCGTCAAGTTGAAACTTGATTATACAGACCCTACTAGGACTTCCAAGGTAAGTGCAATATTTAAGGAGTGGTTTTACTACTTCCATATCCCTAGTGAGTTTCCATGATTGAGTGAAGATTCGAACTCAGGTCTCTATGCACTTCACCAAACTGGGTATCACATTCACATTTAGCAACAATTATTTCCAAGCCTCTCTATACTTCAATCCTAGAGGTATCGGTTTCCTACATTTCCCCCCAAAATTCAACGTGTTAATCCTCTCTAGGGCCAAGCCCACTGTGCAAGGAATTATCTAGCCAAGCTTCTGTAAGATCTATTTCTCTTAGGCTAATCCATGGTTGAGAAAGAAAGAGAGAGAGGTGGGGGTTGATTGAACTGCTATTAATCAACCACCAGGATTATTACTCTTGTGATCATTGTGAGATGCCACTGCTGAAGCTTGAACTCTGCATTAAATTACTGGAATAGCAAGAAAAATAGATAGCTTTAATAAGCCTATTCTCCGTATCTGTTGTATTTCTTTATACACAGTAGAGAAGATTTCTTTTTTAAAAAAGTTTCAGACTGCATAATTTTATTTGAGAGGTAAAAATGAAAAGGGATGCATTTCAGACACAATGCCTTGAATCGTTGAAGTCCACCTTCCAGGGACCGACCTCCCTATTATTTCTGAATCTCATTTACCATTGCAGGAGACTTGTTTAAACATCGAGATTAAGGAGCTCTTATCTCAAGGGGAAGCAAAGGGGTGGGCAAGGCATGTGTTTGTCTTAGGCAGCTGTCTTAAAACTTTCTATTTCCTGTGCAGAACTTGGGGGGGGGGGAGTCTCATGAAAGCTTGGGGATTTTTACAAAACAGTAACTTCCTTTAAAGTTTTCTTAGAAAGAAAAACCGTTCTCATTATACAATGACTCAAAGCAGAAAAATACACTGTCTTGGTGGTAGATTGGTCCAGATTCATAACTAGTACAGTGTTTTTTCACTGGTCCACTTGCACGGCTGGTGGGCCTGTCCGATGACAGTCTACATTGCCTTAATCATAGACAATATGTTTATGCTGGATATCATGACAACTACATGCATGAGAAATCTTTAAAAAAATGAATTTTCCAGGGTATCTATTCCTGGACATGCTTTCTACACTTGGTTGCTTCCTAAGGAGTCATAGAGTCTCCAGCTTCTATCTTCTGCATATTGTGGAGGATTCTGCTGCATTCAGAGTTTAAAGAGGTGCAAGTGTCTTCATCATGAGGAATCAAGGGGGAGAGGGTTGTGGGCCTCAAGACCTGCTCAGGAACCCCAAGCCCCCAGCACTTCCCAAAC